CCCAGGACAAGGGGAGTGAGCCGAGGAAGACCGACCCCCTTCTGTTTTTCGATTCGCATAGGGCAACACAGGGGCTGGAAAGGAAAAGCATGCTGCGGGGCCTATGGCTTGGGGCAGAGTGCTGGCCAGCTGGGAGGCTTGCAAGGGCTGGGCAGCCTCAGGGCTTTGGTTCTCAGCACCTGTGGATCTTGAGCCCTCAGGTCCGCCCCCACTGGCAGTTTTGCCCTAAGCCTGCAGCTCATTCCAGCAATTCTAAGCTCCTTTCCTCAGTGGAGGGTTGCGCCCCTAGGATCTGAAAATGCTGTCCTTCTGGTTGTCACCCTGGATCCAAAGGAAGGGAGCTGCTAGGGCCCACAGAGAGGCGAAAAAGAGCTAAGGGTTTTAAAACCTGACAAGGTCAGAACTGAAAGGGCCCTCAGAGAGCTCTCTGTGACAACCCCTCATTTTGCCCAGCTAAGGCCCAGGAGATAAGGATTTTCCCTAAAGCTGCACAGTAAAGCGAAATGGGTTCAAATATAAATTAAAACAATCTTTAATCGCACGGTTTGCAAAGAGCTAGTTAAGCAAGGAAAGGCAAAGGCAATTTTATTTTCAAGGGGAGTGGAAAGAAATCATCATCTTTGAAAGCAGCAATATGAAATTAATTTCCCTGATGGGAAATAGCACTCTAGACCCAGCTCACCCGTGTTTAATTTTGATTATTCTGAATGGGCTCATATCAGTTCCCGTCAGATCCTTCTTGTTAATATTGTTAATGTCGCTGGGTAGCGGAGTTCCAAACCGGGAGTTAAAGTAAACTTCTGCCAAGCCCTTCCTGCACTCCTTGTGCCATTCTACAGAGATCCTCTTTCTCGGGGAGGAAAAAAAGAAAGAAAACACAAAAAACCCACAAAAAAAACACAACACACAGTTAACCACCTGTCAGGGCTGAGGATACAATGAGGCGTCTCGAAAAGGAGCTTTTCATGCATGCGTAATATATTTGTCCAGCTATTCACTTAATGAAGCTGATAAATGTGATGCAAGACAATAGTCAAGTTAATCTATTTAGTAAAATGTTTTGAGACTTTCAGGCTACATTAAGGAGGGGAGCGTTAGGCGACATTTTCATTTAAATGCACTCATCTCCTCTCTTAGGCTGCACAAGGGGGTTCAGGCAATCTATGTGAATATAATTTCTTATAAATGTGTCTTTAATGGGTTTAATTCACCCTTGCCAGCTGTTTTGGAGGCTACTTTGTAAGAGCAAAACAAACGTTTCAGGCTTGGAAAGCTAGTTAAAATTAGTTTCGGTCAGCGAGGCCAAGCTATATTTCCTGCAAACCATCTGCTTGATTGGCACAATAGAAGGATTTTCAAGGAAAAAGAGGGGAGTGAGTGTGAAAGGGATGGGGGTGAGGGGGGAACCATAGAAAGGGCTGGGGCAGGGGTAGCTCCTAGTGGCTTATTCTAAAGGTGAACCCCTTAGAGTCGTCTTAATAGAGAGGCTCGCAGAGAGGGTTGGAAATCTCTTTCAGTCCGAGCCTGACCGCCCTCCTCCTCCGCCTCGCCGGGCGGCTCCTCTTCCCTCCACCCTCCTTCCCCGCACCGGAGAAGGCAGGCGCTTTTGCCAGTAGCCGCCCAGCATCGGCCAATCTAGCCAAATGCCCTCAACTCTGCCGGCAGTTTCTGCTGGGAGCGCAGTAGCCCGGAGGTCCACATCTTCCCGAAATGAACACTCGCTAACTTTTTGAAGGGCAGGAAAGCTCACGCCACTTTACTTTGCAGAGACCTTCGCCTCACTTCGCGGTGCGCGCGGGGCGCTTCTGGCGCGGTCCACGAAGGCGAGAGCCGCGCTGCTGCCACGACCGCGCGGCGCTGGGGGCTGAGACTTGCCTGCTCTCCCCGGCCCCGGGGGGTGCGGGGAAGAAACCCCCAGAGCGGGTTTGGGTTGCCCTTCATACAATCCCTAGGGTGTCCTGCAGCTTTGGCATCCCATGTCCCCCACCCGCAGCCCCGGCCAGATCTGCTGCGGCCTTCCGCAGCCAGCAGCCCCTCCTACCGCGCAGAGGAGGAGGAACTTTACCCCAAACCGAGGTCTCGAGTTCTCTGTTTTACCCTCTGGTCTTCTTTTCTCTTGAAAGAAATAGACAGAAACCTCGATCTTGGGATAAAGAACGTGAGTGATTTCTCCAAAATAAACTTGAAGATAACGACATTACAATGAATGGCAGGACGCACAAAACCCCATGGGCTCAGGTCAAATGGCATTAGTCACAGGCCTTAGCCGCAGCCGCCGCGCCGCGCAGCCCCTTAGCCTATCATGGAGTTTGAAAGGACGCGTTCAAGGAGATCACTTAAAGTGAGATCCTTTTCGTCCGATTTCTTGCCTCCTTAGGTTTTATTTTGCCTTTTCATGGGCGGCCAGCCCTAGTCCCCGCCCTCACTTTTCCTCTTTGGCGCTTTAGGAAGCTGTGGAGACCAACTCCAGGAAGCAGGGTCCACGTGGATCTCAGCGAGGGGTTGACCCACCTTCCAAGAGATGTCAGGGATGCCTTTTAGAAGTGGAGCAGTCGCAGTTGGTCCAGAGTGAGGCTGGATGGCTAGTGGGGGTGGGGGAGGTACGGAGCCTGTGTGAGGGGCAGAGTAACTAAAGCCTACACCTGGGGAAATGCCCAGCCAGGGAGGACGCCCTGGGAAGGGGGCACTGGGAGGGCCCCAGGCCCCCCATCCCAAGCCATAAAACAACATCCAAGTTGATTTTGGCAAATACAGACTCTATTCTGATCATCTGGAAGACTGGGCAAGAGCTTTTTCCCTTGATAGGGCATCAAACACCTGTAGCCCTGGCCTGTCCTTCCAGGAACTTTAGATTGGGAGAGAAAAGGGGTGGGGAAGAAGAGGAGAGAGAAAGAGAGGGAGAGAAAGCAGAGAGGAAAGAGAGAAAGCGGCCCCGTTGCAAAGGAAAACTTCCTCTTGTGGTAAGGTTATTAAAGCCCACCTATTAAAAAGTGTATAGTTTTCTCACTCATTTTATTGCAAAACTTCAAAATAAACTTTTGAGATTCTTGGACGGACCTCCCTGGTCTGTTTCCAGGGGCCCTTGTTTTAACTTGAGCAATGAGTTTCTCATATTTAAATAGCCACCTATTTAAAAACTGTTCCTTTCCTGATTGGTTTTCCTCTTGCATTCCCTGCCTGCTGCTCAGCCCTTCTCCATAAGCTGTCTTGGGCTCAGAAACTCCACAGTTACCTCATCTTCAAGCATTAATTCGCCTCTGGAGCCTGGCCCTAAATAACTATTTAATTTGAATCAAGGGAGAGCTTTAGCAGACTCCATTTCTGGTTTAATGTGATATAAATCACAGATGCACTTTTATTGAATGGTTAAAGCAGCGACATGGAGATCATCAACACAAAACGCCCCAAACAAAACCATCTAGAGAAATAAAGCTGGTTAATAAGATTTTTGAGAAAGCTTTGTGTTAAAAAGCTAAAAGGAAAACCAGCTGAAGGTGACACTTAGTTCATGGTTAATAGGATCAGGGCGGCCTGGCGGGGCTGCACACTTCTCTTTGGGGAGGTTCAGCCACACTAAAGAAATGAATGGGACATTTAACACATCTGTTATCTCGCGGAACAGAGAAACGGGGAATCGAGGCTCAGTGCCACCTCAGCCCCAGTCCAAAGGAAAGCGAAGGGACTGTCTCCAGGAAGATTCTCTTTTAAAGCCTCAAATCAAGAAGAGACTTTCCGGGACCAACATTCTAGTGAACTGCATCCTTCCCTTGGGTTTCCGTGCATATGTTTGCTGCGCTACTGCAATTGGGAGGGCTCTGGGACGACTTCTGGACCTTCGCTGCTAGGATTTAAACTCTTGGGCTGTGAATTTCAACTTAAAATGCCAACAGCGCCCTGGGGTTGGAAAAGGGTCAGTGTGTCAATCTCAGCGGTTGGGACTGTACTCTCGCCTAAGGCACCTTCCAGCAGGAGTAAGCTCTTTGGAATCTTGCAGCCGGCCGCTCTGCTGGGCTCTCCTTCGCTGCTCTCCCTTGCAGAGACTCCTAGAGAAAATAGTTTTCCAAATTGGTGGGAGTTTGCCGGAGACTCATTTTGACTTTCGTATATCCACCAACTCTCAAACTCTACCGGTCTCCGGAAATGAAACAACACAAATAAAGACCTCCCCCCACGCTTAGGGACACACATCTAATAACCCCAAATCACCAATTTCCACGTCTCCCTGGGTTGTTAGAATGAAACTTCTAACCCCGATTTAACCCACCCCTCACATCTGCCTTATGCTTCATCTGGAGTAAGGAATTGGGCTGGAGACAGAGGAGGGGGTGTGTGTTCACTGACTTCAAACTTTCCCTTCCTCCACCCCCACAAGGGGGAGAGTCATTTTCTTGATAGCCTGGAGATGTATTTCTATGAATATTTATTGATTTATTTTCCAGGCTCAGCAGGGGAGCTGCAAATAAATTTAGTGCGTTCTTTAAATAATTCCTTTTCTATGAGGCAAGATGTCATCTGAAACTTCTAAATAGGCATTTAATTAGCCCGGGTGTTGCTTCTGAACAAAAACCCCTGGCAAGAGCTTTAGGGGAGCACTGTATTGCAAGGAGGCGGTCGATATGCAGAATTGATGCGCGCAGGCCTTTGTTGCCGGCCCATTGTGCCGGCCATACTTATGAAGACTAATCCAATCATAAATTGCACCCCTGCGCCAATCAGAGCGCCCAGAGCCTCGGGCGAATGAAGCTTGAGTGGAGAACTTTGTTGAACTTCATTGTCAGAGCTGTCACTTTTCAAAGTGCTTTAGCGGGCGGGCCACTATAAAACCATCACCTCGACGAGAGGACCACGGAGAACTAGAAGACAACCAACTGGGATCTTGACTTGGAGACGTTAGCTAAGCCCGCGAGAGCGAGGACACCCCGGGGGCGGGAGGGGCGGGAAGCGAGGCGTTTGCCCTCCGGCCACTGGAAGGAGGTTATTTTGCCCGCCCTGCGCTTATCATGATGTTCCCCGGCCTCCTTGCGCCCCCCGCCGGGTACCCTAACCTCCTGCGGCCCACGCCCACCTTGACACTGCCCCAGTCCCTGCAGTCGGCATTTTCCAGCCACTCCAGTTTCCTCGTGGAGGATCTGATCCGCATCAGCCGGCCCCCTGCCTACCTGCCCCGAAACGTGCCCACCGCCAGCATGTCGCCTCCCAGGCAGGGGGCCCCCCCGGCGCTCGCAGATACCGGCGCGTCGGACCTGGGCTCCCCGGGTTCCAGCAGCCGGCGGGGCGGTTCTCCGCCTACTTCTGTCTCCCCTGCCAGCGAACCAACGTTTCTGAAGTTTGGGGTGAACGCCATCCTTTCCTCGGGGCCCAGAACAGGTAAGTGCGGGCAGAATGCTGAGGACCTGCACAGATTCAGGGCACGCAGAGTTCTAACGGCCTCAGTTTCTTCAAAGAGCGGGCACCCACGCACACGTTAGTGCACCCAGGTACGCGCAAACTCCGAGACACCATGTCGTGCATAGTAAAACTTATTTCCAGCTGATTTCGAGGAAGAAAAGCCTCCAGGCTCGCCTCACTTTCAGAAGGAACCCCAGCGCATGCAGTCAGACAGCGCACAGTTGTTGGGTGGTAACTCTGGCGGTCTGGCCCTGGGCATCTGCGTTTCTGCCCCGAGCTTCTATGGGACAGGTTTTTTTTTTTTTTAATACAAAAATGTATATTTATTGGATTAAATAGCATTATCTATCTGCATTTTTTTTCTTCCTGGCTCCAGTCCTATTATCTCGTTAGTGCCTAAGAAAGAAATTGGAGAAAAGGTGAACTGGGCAGAGGACTATTTTAAGGGGTAAAGGAAGGATGCCCACAGATGCGACAATGTTAGGAATATTTTACCCAGTCACTGCACTAGGAAAGATGCCTTTGAAACCAAATGAAGGGTTCATTATATCATGTATTCAATGTGTAGTGCGATAACCAAGTAAGCAATCAAATTCCCGTTGTTTACCCCTCTCCTTTCTCCCTCCCTCAGAAACATCTCCCACCTTGCTCCAGAGCGTCCCTCCCAAGACCTTCGCCTTTCCCTATTTTGAAGGTTCCTTTCAGCCTTTCATCAGATCTTCTTACTTCCCAGGTAGGTCTCATTCCCCTTCTGTGCGCGAGCCTGGGTGGCGCCCCAGCCCCGGCCCCGGCCCATCGCTCCCGGCCATGAAGCCATATTTCTCCGTCCACCCCTCGGGGTTACGCTCTGGTTCAGAGGTTGCGAGGCGTACAACATTCACGAATCCGTCGCGCCAATTTGATGCCCTATTTAGCACAAGCAGTGACTGCTTGACACTTTGCACCAATTCCCTGCTCTACAAATTAGCAGGAATTGTCATGGTCCCAATTTGAGGCGGTTCCCTTCCCGGCGAGGAGCTGTTGGCATCCCTTCACGCTGCCATTTTCCCACAGAGCCGGTGCACTTGGCCACGATTCCCCACAAAGCTTTCAGCACCATGACCAATTGGTCAGCTCCTCTGGGCAGCCACACACAGACCAGCCCTCGTCCTTCCACGCCGCAGAGAGACACCTACCAGCCGGGGCTAATTTCTCTTTAAGACTCATTCAGGGCTTCAGGCTTTTCACAAGACCACATGGGGTGCCCTCTTGTGTGGGATGCCCAGGGTCGCCCAGGGGGAGGAGGACTAGATCCCTCCCCCAACCCTCCATTTCCAATCTGACTTCTCAACCCCTTCTCACACTCTCCCCTCACAGCCACACCTTTTAAAATACCTTCGTTTGTAAACTAAGCACCAGCTGGAGAGAAAACTCAAATTGGATCTCAGGCTAAAGGGGAAACACCTTATTACAGCTTCCAGAGGGTTTGTTCCGGAATCCCACTGGTCACTCAAACTGTGGCTCGAAAACTCTGCAGCTGGTTACATTCAAAGGGAGACTGGGAAGCCCCTCTCAACCTAGAGAAGAGGGACTAGCCAGGGTCGATGGGGGTGGATAAAACCACCACAGCACTTTCAAATATCAGCCAAGGAACAAGCAGTTGATTTTTTTTAAGGGGAAGAGAGAATTCACCAACCCTCCCCCCCCCCATTCACGCTGCTGCTAATAATGGAATTTGCTCCCTTTCTCCCTCATCTCAATACTTTTAACAAAAACAACCCAAGCTTTCTAAATAGCTTTTCATGTCCATTTAATGAAAACGATGCGGGGAAGAGGAGCCTCCGCCATCAGTATTCTCCCAATGGTCCCGGCCTGCAGTTGTGTTTAGTTTGAAAGTGTAAATCTCTTTTGTCCCAGTAATATATGGCTTTCGCTGCTTGTCGTCAGTCTTTTTCTGTTAGTTCATTACTACACAATTACCATTCACGCTTCATTAGAGTCTCTGTTTCTTTTTGTTTTGTTTTTTTCTCTTCCTTAAAGCGAAACTCTCCCCCTTTTTATCATGCCAATACCCATTGGGAAGCGGTCGATGTGCTAATTAGCTGCCACTTTTCATGTATTCCGGCCGAATTCTTTACGTTTTGTGGGGGAGGGGAGGAAAGATTAATATGAAAAAGATGAATACTGATTGGATTTTTCAAAAAAAAACTCAAAGAGGATTTTTCCGTCTCTATCATGAGTAAGGCATCTCATTTTCATCTAAAGAATGCAAAAGCCACCAAGGTGATAAAAACTTTGGGGAGAAACCCAGTGGTCTCCGCTGGATATTTCGTTTTTATTTTTGTAGTTTTTATTTCTATTGCTATTTCAGCTGATGTACGCAAGTGTGTTTCCTTGAGATCACTGAGTGGAAGAACGAAACAGGCTATTCTGGGGCTGTGTTCTGTGTTTCCGTGGTTTTACCTAATCCGAGTTTGCAGGGTTGAAAGGGAAAGTGATTTGGGCGGAAAGCGCCTTTCACTCTCGCAGGTTTGTAGGTTCGTGGCCTATTCTCCAAGGGGAGAAAAGACAGCGCTTTAAAGAGATGAAGGGATCAGAGAGAAAAAGCCAGAAAAAGTCGCCGGGAGTGGGGGTAGGGGTGGGGACGGACGCCACCGGGTCTCGGCGGGACACCGCCCACTCACTCGCCACCTGCCCCCACCCGCAGCGTCCTCCAGCGTGGTGCCCATCCCTGGAACCTTCTCCTGGCCGCTGGCCGCCCGCGGCAAACCTCGGCGGGGCATGCTGCGTCGAGCCGTGTTCTCCGACGTGCAGCGCAAGGCCCTGGAGAAGATGTTCCAGAAGCAGAAGTACATCAGCAAGCCCGATCGCAAGAAGCTGGCGGCCAAGTTGGGCCTGAAGGACTCGCAGGTGCGGACGGAAGACTTGCCCCTCCCACGGCGCTTCGCCCCCCTCCCCCTCGCGCAAGGCAATGGGGAGGGTCCGCAGACTGCTGGGGTCCCACTGCCCAGATGCGGGAAACCCAGGCCTCCAGGACTTAGGGCACAAGCCAATTGAGGTTTGAGGCTCCTCACGGAGCGGAGGGGCCGCTTCTCTCTCCCCCTTCGCCCCGAGGGCCATCTCTCCGGGGCTCCCACCCCGCCAGCGGGGGCCCAGTGCCGGGGACAGGGCAGGGAGAGCTGCGAGCCGACGTCGAGAGTGCTCAGTGCTGTCACTCATCTGAACTCGAGTCACAGGGAGGGGAGGAGCAAGGTGGGAAAGATAGAGCCGGCTCCCAGCGCCCCGCCCTCCATCCGTCCCTCGGCGCCCCTACCCGCGCCCTACCCCGGGAGCCCCAGCGCTAACCTCTGCTTTTCCCTTTTTCTCGCCTGCCTGCCGGCATGTCCCAGGTGAAAATTTGGTTCCAGAACCGACGCATGAAATGGCGGAACTCCAAGGAGCGGGAACTGCTGTCCAGCGGGGGCTGCCGTGAGCAGACCCTTCCCACCAAGCTCAATCCTCACCCGGACCTCAGCGACGTGGGCCAGAAGGGACCCGGGGACAACGAGGAGGAAGACGAGGCCTCGGGCAGTCCCCAGCGCCGCCTGGCCTACCGAGTGTCCCCGGAGCCTCCGCACCTGCGGGACCCGCGGCTCCCAGGGCCTCTCCCCACCTCACCGGCGCACTCGAGCAGCCCCGGGAAACCTTCGGACTTCTCCGACTCCGAGGAGGAGGAGGAGGGCGAGGAGGAGGAGGAGGAAATCACCGTGTCCTAGAAGCCACTCCCGCACCCGCCCAAGTACTGTTTTCTAAGTGCTTTGAAATTGAAGAGCTGGGGTCCAGCCTGCGTGTCCACGTCTTCCGCGCTGCCCAGACATTGCCTCTGCCCACTGTGGAACCGTCACTTCCTCGAGGATGCTACAGCCCTTCTGTTGTCCCACAGAGACATTTTCTTCCTGCCCCCTCCAACCCCCAGACAGGCCTCCCCAGTACATAAGTTAAATTTAGGGCTTAACCCTAAGCCTTAACTTCTCTCCACAAGGGCTCAAATCTATCCTGGTTAGTGCAAACGAAGCACAGGGTGTGTGTGTGGGAGGGGGTGTGGGTGTGTGTGTCTCTATTCCTGCAGCCTGGACTTAATTACCAGTCAGGCCCTGCTGGTCTTTAGTAGTGACAACCCTAGAGGTAGGAAACCTTTTTTTAGGCCTTAAAACACCGAGGATATAACTCACTCCAAGACCCCTAACTTCCTGAGTGGCTTTATCTCCTTAGTTGAGGTAGCAAGGGCCTCCCAACCCCTTTCCCGCTCACCATAGCACCTAAATGAAGCGTGGGAAGCTCAAAAATTTCAAAAAAGAAAAAAATACGTATCTGTGTCTTCTGGTCTAAGGCACAACATAAATACTGCCTTTTTATTTTTTTGGTGATTTTCCCAATGCTCTCTGGGGAAAGAAGTGAGTTCTTTAAACGGGGGGAAGAACCAGTCTCTCTGTATAGGTGATTTAAAGCTTTTCTTTTTAATTTCTGCATGCATAGTATATGCACCAAGCACTCTCTCCTGTACCCTTTCATTATTTCTGTGACGGTATTACTGAGCTGCAAACCTCCTGAGCACTGGGCATGGTGTGGACAGAGAGACCCACAGCCTCTTTGATTTATTTAAAGCTGAACCTTGCTGTCTTTGCACAGCCTTTATGAACTGTATACTCTTTTGTACACATATGTTGTATGGATATTTTATACCAAGGTTATTACTATAAAGAACTGGCTAGATGTCTTTTTTTTTTTTTGCAATGGTTTTCAAACTTTAAAAACGTAGCTGTTTAATTGCATAACTTATAAAGAAATACTTATTTTGTATTTTTACCATGTACAGATTTTTTAATATATGTATATATGTATCAAAGGGACAAATGCCAAATAAAATGTAGATGGATGGCGTGGCCAAGTGATGTCATTACTTCACAGAATGTTAGAGTTGAAAGGAATGGAGCTATTACAGCCCAAAGCTCGGGTTTCTTTTTTTTTTTTTTTTTTTGAGACAGAGCCTCAAGCTGTCCCCCTGGGTAGAGTGCCATGGCATCACAGCTCACAGCAACCTCCAACTCCTGGGCTTAAGCGAGTCTTCTGCCTCTGTCTCCCAAGTAGCTGGGACCACAGGCGCCCGCCACAATGCCCGGCTATTTTTTGGTTGCAGCCGTCGTTGTTTGGCGGGTCCGGGCTGGATTCGAACCCGCCACCTTAGGTATATATGGCTGGCGCCTTAGGCACTTGAGCCACAAGCGCCTAGTCAAAGCTCAGGTTTCAAGAGATGCGGCCCCTTATTCAAAGCCACCCATCTACTACTTAGCCCTGCTAACACTGGATCCATCTCTGACTCTCAGTTCAGTGCTTTTTCTGCTCTATTATTACCATAAAATAACCAGACCTGCTGTGTAACACGTAAAGCAGCTTCAATTTGGTACCAAAAAGTGAAATCTGCAACTAAGCCTCTCTTCTAGAGACTGAAAGGAAATCAGGGCAAGTCCACCTAAGTGGGTCAAGTTTTCTCACAGAGAAATAGAGCATAGAATTGTGGTTTCCAGGGGCTGGAGAAGGAGGAAATAAAAAGTTGTCAATAGGTACAGAGTTTCAGTCTCTCAAGATGAAAAAGTTCTGGAGATCTGTTGCACGGCAGTGTACATATAGTTAATACTGCTCAACAGTACCCTTAAAATGGTTAAAATAGTGAATTTTACATGTTTTTAAAATAAAATTTAAAAGAATTTTATTGTTGTTAAGCAGTTTAAATTTTATTGACCTCCTGGTTTATTAAAAAAAGTTAAAGTTTAAGGTCACACCTCTAAGCCTGAGGTACTATATACAGATCGTGCAGAATATCCAGTATGAAGAGATACAAATTCGTCCATGCCCAAGAGATCTACTAGAGTACAGAATCATCATCATAAATACATATAAAATTATTGTGAAGACAGATGAAGACTGTCCAAGTTGAAAGTTGAAAATAATTGTCCATTTTCCCATCATTATGGTAATTCAAGAAACCTCCCACATTTCCCCCTCATGTAAAAGTGTTCGGCGTGGTCATCATTCAACCTAGGTCAATGCTTTGCTTTCAGATAGGGACCCTCTGCTCAGAATGATTCAGGCTGTTTTCTATCCCTCTGCTGTTGTCTGGAAGTCCAGACATAGGAGCCCGACCAGAAGAGCCAACCCTTCCCTTCCTGTCAGCTAAAGTTCTTACTCACGGCCAAGAACTATTCTCAGGCATGGATGTGGATTAGGAACTAGGTCTGAAGTCAAAGTACTCCGGAGACACAACCATAATCACTGCAGCATTACTCATAACCATCAAGAGGTGAAAGGAACCCCCAAATCCATGGATTAATGAATAAATAAGAATGTGGCCCATACATACCAGGAACTATTATTCGTCCTTAAAAAAGAAAGAAATCCTGTTACATGCTACAATGTGGATGAATCTTGGGGACATTATACTAAGTGAAATAAGCTGGTCACAACAATTTTTTATGGTAAATTGGAAAACTAATTCACATGTTAGAAGAATTAAAAATCCAGGCCAAGAGTGTAGTTCATGCCTGTAATTCTAGCACTTTGGGAGGCTAAAGTGGAAGATAGCTTGAGACCAGGAGGTAGAAACCAGCCTGAGCAACATAATAAGGCTCCATTGCTATAAAAAATGCAAAAGTTAGCTGGGCATGGTGGTGCATACCTGTAGTCCCCTGGTACATAGCTGGAGGCTGAGTCCAGGAGTTTGAGGTTGCTGTGAGCTCTAATGAAGCTCCTGCACTCTAGCCCAGGAAACAGAGTGAAGTGCTGTCTCAAAAGAAAAAGGAAGAATTACAAATCCAGCAACAGTTAAATCTATGGCAAGCACGTGAAAATGTGAGACAGCAATTTTATCAAAGACAATGTAGAATTCAAAGCAAAAAGCATTAAAGATATTAATAAGGTACCTTTAACAATAAAAGTTTAGAAAATCCAAAAAATCCAAAATACTCAAGATTTTGGTTTTTAGACCAAGTCTCCCTCTGTTGCCCTGGGTAAAGTATGGTGGTGGTGTCACAGCTCGCAGCAACCTCAAACTCCAGGGTTCAAGCAATCCTCTTGCCTTAGGCTCTCCAGTAGCTGAGACTACAGGCATGGGACACCATGTGCCCCTAGTTTTTTCTATTTTTTTTTAAGTAGAGATACCCCTGATAAAAATGTGTAGTCATTTTTTTGTGACTACATGAGATAAGTATATGCTTCAAAAAAAAATCTTGAGGCTGAACACAGTGATTCACGCCTATAATCGCACGGCTAAAGTGGGTGGATTGCTTGAGCTCAGGAGTTCAAGACCAGCCTGGGCAATATGGTGAGATCCCCATCTGTAAAAAAAGAAAACCCAGGAGTTTAACACTGCAGTGAACTATGATCCACCACTGCATTCCAGCCTGGATGACAGAGTGAGACCTGTCTCTAAAAAGAAAAAAAAAAAAAAGATAAGTTGAAAAAATAAAACCAATAACTTTAGTTCAAAAGACTGAAATAGTTATATTCATAAGCTAAAGAATAATAAATAGGAAAAAGAATGGAAATTTTTACTGGACACCTATCTTGTGACAGGTAGGTATTCTGATAGGGACCTCACATCAGCACTACTTGTTACTCAAACTTTACTGTGTATCAGGTCCACTTGGGAAATGCAGATTATAATTCAGAACTCTGAATATTTGACATTGCCAACGATGTTGGTCCACAGAACACACGTCAGCAAAATTTACACAAGTTTTATCCTCATAGTAACCCCTCCAAGGTAGATGTTACATCCACATTACAGATGCAGAAATTGAGGCTGAGAGTTTGGTGATAAATGTGATCACCCAGCCAGAATTCAAATTCAAGATCATCACTGCTCTACCTCCTTAACTGAACTGGTTAAAAATCTGTTTAACCAAACTCAATCAATAGGAACTCTCTACTAGAGCTTTAAATGTTTTAATCTTCTGCAGTTATGAGAAAAAATAGAATATCAATGGCAATTGTAAACCATTCTTATGCTTCTAAATCTCCAACCCCACCACCGGCTCTCTTCCCTATCCTCTAAACCAGCAATCCTCAGACTTTGCTGTTAAAACATCATTATGTTCCTAAAAATCAGAAGCCTAAAAGATCTTTTTGTTTCTGTGGTCCTTATTATCAATATTTACTGTATAAAGAAATCAAGATTGAGAAAAATTTTAAATATTTTTGTTAATGTGTCTAAAACAATAACTCCATTAAATATCAATATAAACAATTATGTTTGGCTCGGCACCTGTGGCTCAAGTGGCTAAAGCACCAGCCACATATACCTGAGGTGGCAGGTTCGAATCCAGCCTGGGCCCGCCAAACAACAATGATGGCTGCAACCAAAAAATAGCTGGGCGTTGTGGTGGGTGCCTGTGGTCCC